AACGTGCTGAAGGTACGCTAAATTTTATGAATTGTGCTTTGTGCTTTTCCTATCATTATATCTTGTGCATTTGAGTTTGATCCACCATAGTTTCAAGCATCCTTTTTTCTTCACAATAATTCATTCATCTTTTCTTTTGCCTTTGGATATTCCTGAAATTAATGCAATCAGAGCCGGTTATGCTAATGAGATGAACTCTAGTGACGGAACCATCTTAATCTTTCACGAGTCCACCATTGTCTTTGTTGTATAGTCACACTAGTAAATGTTATTATGTTTACATATTCATATTATACATGTCGATGCAGAGTTGATAAATGTTGGGCAACAGCAAGAAGCCCTGGAGACTCTTCACTGTTTTATTACCACAAGGAGGTATAGGCCTTGGACTAAAACTCATGAGAGAATAATGTTCAAGTATGTTGAGTTATGTGTCGACCTGAGAAGGGGAAGGCATGCTAAAGATGGCCTTATCCAGTATCGTGGCATCTGCCGACAGGTTAATGTTACTTCTCTAGAGGAGGTAATAAAGCATTTCATGCAGTTGGCCACTGGTAAGGCTGAGCTTGCACGTAATCAAGTTGAGGCTCTGGAAGAGGCCTTGGATATAGATGACTTAGAAGCAGATAGGCCTGAGGATCGGATGTTGAGCTATGTTAGTGATGAGAAAGGAAAAGACAGATCTGACCGTGAGCTTGTTATTCCATGGTTTAAGTTTCTGTGGGAAACTTACAGAACTGTTCTGGAAATTGTGAGCAACAACTCAAGATATGAAGCTCTGTATGCTGTAAGTTCTGTCCTATAAGTATACATTTTGATTTGTGATTTTCTTCACTGAATTGTAACTGTGCTTGTATTACTAGCTGGTTCATGTTAACCTCTTGATGCAATGTGCTTGCAATATTTGTTGCTTATTATTTCTGACAAAAGTTTTAAAACAACAAATATTGAATTTGCTATAATCGCTAGATCCTTTTGTCCCTTCATATATTTTTAAGTATTTTTCATTGCTTTCTTTCATAAGACTTGTCATTTGTCAGTTAACTTGGGTTAAAGACCTGTTTGAGTGGGCATTAAAAGCTTATATGTGTTAATTGAAGGTCTCAAATCTTTGATACATATATTCCAATTGATTTTTATCGTGCTTCTATTTAAATTTTCAGAAGGCTGCACATCATGCCTTCCACTTTTGCAAGCAATACAAGCGTACGACAGAGTTTCGGAGATTGTGTGAAATAATTCGGAATCATCTGGCAAACCTTTACAAGTATAGTGACCAACGGGATAGGCCTGATCTTACCGCTCCTCATAGCTTTGAGTTGTATCTATGTACCAGAACTGAGCAACTTAAAGTTGCTACTGAACTTGAACTTTGGCAGGTTTGTTGTGCTCTTTTTACTTGTGCATGCAGTTTAAATTGAGTGATAGGTTTGTGACAACAACTTGTCCACCAGACTTGATTCTCTATAAGTTGGTTCATTTTTGTTGTTTCTGGATTTGCAGGAGGCATTTCGTTCAATTGAGGACATATATGGATTTATGTGCATTGTTAAGAGAACACTTAGACCTGAGATGTTGATTTTTCTATATTATGAGCTTTCTGTAATTTTCTGGATGACATCCAGCCATCTTTATCATGCTTATGCATGGCTTAAGCTTTTCTCGCTTCAGAAAGGGATCCTAAATGAGGAGGACTTACAGTTAACAGCATCAGCAGCTGTTTTAGGTGCACTATCTGTACCTCCATATGATTGCTCATATGGTGCATCTCATTCGGAGCTTGAAAATGAGAAAGAGCGGAATTTAAGAATTGAAAACCTTATGGCTTTTGATGTTGAATCCAAACCTGAGAATAGAGAATTGGTAACAGTCTTGGACGAACCTTTTGCTTCATTTATATAGCTATTTAATTGATTGCCTTTTTGTATTTAGTATTTTTTTTTTTT